TTTTTTATATAATAAGACTATTCAAAACTGCAAAAAAAAAATCCTATCTCAAGCACAGTTCAAAAACAGGAAGAGGGTCAGATCTGGACCATGAGCTGTGATCTCTGATTTAACCAATTAACATCAATTAGCTTTTAGAAAGGAATAATGACTAAGAAGATATTGCAAAAACTAAAAGTACAAAACATCTCTCCCTGAAATGGTAGTATTATTCTCCCTTATATCGCCTTAGTCCCTAGAGAGAGTAGGTGTTACCATAAAGTGTTGATTATGAAGCACCATTGGACCTCCATTCCTCTGACCTTTGGTATCTCACAAGGTCATTCCATCTCCAATACTCTACCTAGGAGCAAGGAAGAATACAACAAGTACAGAAGCACCAACAGGACTGTGTGCTCCTGACCTCATGTCAATTTGGGTAGGGTGAGGGCCTGTTGGCTTTCTCTCTCCCCCCACCCCTTCTTGGAGGCTTACAGCAGTTCTTGTCTCCTCATTGGAACATGGCCAGGCAGGAAAGAGAAAGAGGCTTACTTTGGCATGTTTTGTTGTTGTTGTTGAGTCATGCCCGATGCTTTTTGAGCCCAGTTGAGGTTTTCTTAGCAAAGAAACTGGACTGGTTTTGCCATTTCCTGCTCCAGCTCATTTTACAGATGAGGAACTGAGGCAAACAGCATTAAGTGACTTGCCCAGGGTCACACAGCTAGTAAGTGTTTGAAGTCAGGTTTGAATTCAGGAAGATGTCTTCCTGACTCTGGGCTCAATACTCTATCCACTGCACCACCTGGCTGCCTATTGAATACACCAGTTCCAGATCAGCAGCCAGTCAAAGTCTATTTCCTCACCATGTGGTTATCAGAATAGAAGTAGCTATAGAATACCTGCATATACCCCAAAATAGAGTTGGGGAAGAGGCTATTTTATATCAATAGTCATTTCCAGAAGCATGTTTACCAACTGTGCATGCTCCAAGGACTGAACCCTCCTTATATAAAAGCTACATTCTGAATTAGAAGATCAAAGAAGAGGCAGATTTATTGCTTATGGCACATAACATATTGTTAACAAATAATAAGAAAGAAGACAGAACTACTTTAATTTGACTTTGCTGATATGTATGTTCTTTTCAAATGATGTACTCTTCAAGCTAAAAGTTTAGGGGGGAAGGTAGAGAAGAAAATAAAACCTAAAAAGTGAAGACAAAGTAGGAGACCATCCCAACCCGTTTCCTCATCTGCAAAATGAGGAAGTTGGACTCTAAGGTACTTTCCAACTTTTTCATCTAGGATCTTATGAAATGAATGTGTCTCTAGGCACAATGTGTCTGATGTTAATTCCAGGATGCAAGAAGGAAGTTCTTTGTGTGAGGCCAGAGCCACAGTCAATAAACTTCAAGAAATCAGGGGTAATATGAGAGGTGCCAGAAAACTTGGGATGTGTAAATATCATGATTTTTTTCTAAAAAAAGGATTTCCCCATCTATTTGATGGATTTGGGGAACTTACAGACTAATAAGCCTGACATCATGAAAAGTGTGGGACCTTAGAGACCATTTAATCCAACTCCCTATTTGACAGATAAGGAAATAATTTTTTTTAAATTTTGAAACATTTTACTGCTTTAAATATTTTTAACATTATATTCATTTCCAATTATATCCTTCCCCTTTTCCACCCCAAGGAACCATTCCTTGTAAATAATGAATAAAAAAGAGAGGAAACAAAAGCATTTTATCAGAACTAACCAATAAATAATTGAATCTAATGTATACGTGATATTCTCTACCTACAGTTCACCCCACATCTGAAAAGAAGGTTTGGAAGTACATTTCTCATCTCTTCTTCATTTATTCACTTTTTTGGTTTCCTTTTGAATTGTTGTAGTTATTATATATGAATTGTGAGCATTTAGAAAAAGACTGATGGTCCTTAGAAATCATGGGAGTGCAGAGGTCATATAATCTAACCTCCTTATTTTAAACGTGAGAAAACAGAGGCTCAGAGAGATTAAATAACTTGTCCAAGGTCAGACAGCTACTAAGTCTCAGAAGTGGGATTTGAAGCAAGGTCTTCTTGGCTCCAAGCCCAGAACATACCTCACTATGTCATGCTTTTGGTTCACAAAGAAGTTATGCCAAAGTTGTTTCATTTGCTTTTTTGATAGGGACAGCTCATGGTGTGGTGGATAGAGTTTTGGACTCCCAGCTAAGGAAGACCTGAGCTCAAATTCTGTCTCAGACACTCATAAGCTGTGGGATGCCAGGCAAGTCACTTAACCTCTGTTGTAGTTTTTTCATCTGTAAAATGGGATAATAATAGCATCTACTTCACAGGGTTGTTGTGAGAAACAAATGATTGTGAGAATCAAATACATGTAAAATGCTTTGTAAATCTTAAAGTGTTATATAGAAATGCTAGCTTGCCAGATAGGTTTCTAGACTGGTAGACCAGAGTAATAATGTAGGTACAATGTGTCTTGGTTTTAGGAAGACATTTTATAAATTTTATCATGATGCCATTGTGGAGAAGATGGAAAAAATGTTGGCAGGATGTTAGCATAGAATGGCACCCAAAGGAAGAAAGGAAGGAAAGAAACAAATATTTGTTTAAGTGTGCACTATGTGCCAGGCACTGTGGTAAGTGCTTTAGCATGTTATCTCATTTGTTCCATACAACAACCCTTAGAGGTAGGTGCTGGCATTATCCCCATTTTATAGTTGAAGAGACTAAGGCAGACAAATTTGTTGTTGTTCAGTAGTGTACAACTCTTCATGATCCCATTCAAGCTTTTCTTGTAAAAGACAATGGAGTGGTTTGCCATTTCCTTTTCCAGATCATTTTACAAATGAGGAAACTGAGACAAATTGGGTAAGGGACTCACTCAGGGTCACACACACATTAAGTATCTGAAACTGGATTTGAACTCAGGAAGAGCAGCCTCTCCTGACTGTAGGTCTGGTACTCTATCCACTGCCCTACCTAGCTGCCCCTAGATAGGGGACATTGATTAACCAATCAGAGGTATCTGGGGAAAGGTTTCTCAGTACTATGCTGCAGGACTGTGTCCTTGGACCTATCCTTTTCTATATCTCTATCTATTTGGTCAACAATTTGTTTTAAAAAGAAGACATTTTCTTTGAATTTTCAGATGGTACAAAGTTGGGAGAGCTGACTAATAATGTTGAGGTTCAGGGGCTCAAGGGTGCTGGACCCTGAGATCACGACACGTGGGTCCTGTCCAAAAGAATTTGACCCAAGCCTTCTTTCAGCCAAAGACAAGGTTTATTAGAACATCCGTCACATTGAGCAGACTCTTAAGGAGTCTGAACATTAGTGAGCTAGATTATAAGAATCTGAGCCATGGCTAGATTTTAAAAATCTAAGCATCTTAATGGAGAGAAGATGGACCTTATGTACAGAAAGACTATGGGAGAGATCTAGGAGTGGCCAAGTAGTCTATGAGGTAATAGAACTCCAGGGACCTGGATCACCTGGCCAAGGGAGAATGTAGCCTAGATAGGATTAAGCGAGGGAAGTGGCCTGGAGCCATAGGGAGGTAAGACAAAGGAGGGCTAGGCTAGGTTAAGGGTAACTGAAAATTGGGAGGTTGGGTAGGCAGTAAGAAAAGGCCAGTTGATGGGATTATAGCCTCAGGCAAACACCAAAGATTTGGCCAGGTGGGAAAGTCCAGGGTTTTTCCTTTTTGGGGTCTAGATCCCATCCTCATCAATAATAGAAAGCAGATTCGAAACTTAAAATTAGCTTGATGGACAAAAAGAATGGATCAACATTAGTGATGAGGTTGGGAGGCTATAATCCCATCACCCAACCTCCCAATTCTCTGTTACCCTTAACCTAGCCTAGACCTCCCTATGGCCTCAAGCCACTTCCCACCCTTAATCCTATCTAGACTCCTTTCTCGAGGTTCCTGGAGTTCTATTACCTCATATTTAGCCACTCTTAGATCCCTCGCATAGTCTTTCTGTATATAAGGTCCATCTTGTCTCCATTAAGATGCTCTGATTCTTATAATCTAGCCTTTGCTCAGATTTTTACAATCTAGCCAATAGCCCACAGATGCTCAGATTCCTTAAGAGTCTGGCTAATATGGAAGATCTTTAATAAATCTTGTTTTTGGCTGAAAGAAGTCTTAGGTTGAATTCTTTTGGGCAGGACCTGCATCTCAGGGTCCCAGCACTCCTAAACCTTCTAGACCTCATCACCAGGATGAAATTTGACAGAGATAAATGTGGATTTCATTTAAGACTTCAAATATCAGTTTCACACGTATGGTTTAGTCAGCCATTTACAGGAAAAAGAAGGTAAGGGAGGACAGTGAATTGCAAGCTCCACATAAGTCAAGGGTGGTACAACAGCCAAGAAAAGCTTATGCTATCCTGGGATATATTAAGACACAGAGCTTCCAGGAATAAGGAGTCCTGTTATATCTCACCCAAGTCAGAACCCATCTGGGGTACTGTATTTGTTTTGGACACCGAAGCTTAGGAAGGCCATTGATAAACTGAAGAACCTTGAGGTCATGCCCTGAGAGGCTCAGCTGAAGGAACAGAGAGTATTTACCTGGAGAAGAGAAGACTGGGGGAATGGGGGGAAATTGGGGGAGAAGAGAGAGGACACAATAGCTGTCAAGTATTTGAAAGGATTGTTATATGTGGTCCCCAGATGCTTGGAGCAGAGTGAAAGGTATAGAAAAGTAGATTTAATTTTGATAACAGGAAAAAACCTCTAAGAATTAGAACTGACCTAGAATGAAAGGTACCATCCAGGGTGGTACTAAAAGACTTGGACAAAGAAAGATTCGGAACTAAAGTAACCCTCCTATAGTTTCCTAGCCGGCCCTCCCAATGCATGGTCGCTCTAGGTCCCCATCCCGTCCTGCCGAGAGGGCCGCTGGGAGTTGTGGTCTGAGGAGCCCTCGCTACCCTTTTACGAAAGAGCGGGTAAAGCGTGGACTCCGATTCCCAGCTTGCTTTGCAGCCCCGTTCTCCCTCTCTCTCGCCCCTCCTCCCAGCACCAACTACCCGTTCGGGAGCTCTCTTCAGTCAGTCCTGGGCGCTTAACTCCCTTCCCCTTCGTTCCTCTCCGGGAGCTCCTGCAGCCCCTCCAAGCCGGAGCTCCGGGACGGGCGGCGGGGGCGCGGAGGAGGACGCTAGGCCGAGGCCGGGGTGAGTGTGGGCGGCGGGCATGGCGAGAGAGAGAGAGAGGGAGAGACCGAGAGAAACCCAGAGAGTGTGAATGTGTGTGTGTGTGTGTGTGTGTGTGTGTGTTTGTGTGTGTGTGTGTTTGTGTGTGTGTGCGCGCGCGCGCATAATGTACGTAGTGTGTGTGTAGTGTGTATAATGTGTATAGGGTGTTGTGTGTGGTGTGTGATGATGTGTGTGGTGTTTATATGGTGATGTGTGGTGTGTACGGTGTTGTGTAAAGTGTCTTGTATGCATGGTGCGTAGTAATGTTATGCGTAGTGATACGTGTAGCGTAATGGTGATGTGTGGTGTGTATAATGTGTTGTGTAGTGATATGTGTAATGTGTATAGTCTATGTAGTGATGTATGTAATGTGTGTAGCATGTACATAATGTTTTGCATGTGTAATGATGTGTGCAGTGTGTGTAGTATGTTGTGTGCATAGCAATGTGTGTAGAGTGTAGTGATGTGATAATATGTGTAGTGTGTTGTCTGTGTAGTGATAGATGTGATATGTGTAGGGTGTGGTGTGTATGATGTGTGCAGTGTGTAACGTGGGTAGTGTGTTGTCTGTGTAGTGATGTGTGTAAGGTGTGTAGTGTCTAGTGATGTTTGCAGTGTGTGTAGTAGGTAGAGATGTATGTAATGCGTTTGTGACACACACCTGTGCAGGAGGAGGGCACCATGATCATAATTAGGCACTGCTTTGAGGTTTGTGAAGTGCTTTGCTCCCGTTTCTTCCTTTGACGTGTAGAATGCAAGAATCACATCATCCCCCTTTTCCTGAGCGTTAGAGAGGGATCCACACTTGGTCAGTCACATAGCTAGCAAGCATCTAAGTGGGCAGCTGAAATCAATGCCAGTGCTGATTCTACTCTACAGGTTGCTTCTCCCCAAAGTGCTTTAAGGTTCACAGGACTGGTATTACTGTTTCCATTTTACAGATAAAACAACTGAACTTCAGAAAGATGAAATAACTTGTTTAACATTTTATAACTAGTAGCTGGCTGAAATGGAATTTGAACCCAAGAATTTAATCCAGCTTGGACTCCCCCGCACCTTTTTGAGGAGAAAGGACTTTGAGAGAGACTAAAATGAGGGATATGATTTTTAGGGAAAGAGATGGTAGTACATGGTAGTATAAAATCATAGAATTTAGACCTGAAAATAATAGTAGAGATTATTTAGTCTAAATCCCTCATTTATAGTCAGTCAACAACAATCATTTATTAAGTGCTTATATGGCAGGCAATGTCCTAAGTACTGGGCATACAAAAAAAGGCAAAAAACTCTAGCCCCAAACAGAAACCCAACCCCTACTCTCAAGGAGCTCACAGTCTAATGGGGGAGACAACATGTAAATAACTATGTACAAACAAGATATTTACAGGATAAGTTGGAGGTAATCTCAGAAAGAATAAAGTTTTAGTGACTTCAGAAGTTATTCCACCAAGGTCATCTGGGTAGTAGTTAAGTGGCAAGACTGGGATTCAAATCCAGGTCATCGATCAGGAAGATTGATTTAATTTCCTCAATATACACATGAGGAAAAAGAGGTGAAATGACTTGTCAAAGGGCTTACAGATAGTAACAAAGCTAGGATGTGAATTCTGAGCTCTCAGACTTCAAATCTAGCATTCTTTCATCGTGATTTTCTAAGGTAAGACCAAGGTGCAGTGAGGGAGGTTAACATCTTGGAATAGAACTTTGCTGGGAGTTGGGAGACATGTATGATGTTATCTGCTACTAGCTGGCTGTGTGACTTTGGGCAAGTCACTTCTCTGTGCCTCAGTTTCCTCATCATTAAGTTGGACAGTGGTTTGGGAGTCTAAGAGATGAGGAGGGGGAAAGGCTCTTGCATTTTAGTGTGGAAAATGTAGTATACAAACAGGAATAAGACAGGGAGCAGTAGGGAATAGAACTCTGTCACAAAAGTAGCAGTGGAACCATAGAAAATTACAATTAACCCAGGAACTATGTGAACACAATTACAAAACATTTTTCACACAAATAAAGTCAGATCTAAATAACTGGAAAAACATCAGTTGGTCATGGGTAGGCTGAGCTACTAAAAATGACAATTGTACCTAAGCTAATTTACTTATTCAGTGCCATACCAATCAAACTACCAAAAAAATTATTTTATAGAGCTAGAAAAAATAATAACAAGATTCATTTAGAAGAACAAAAGGTCCAGAATATCAAGGGAAGTAATTAAAAGAAATGCTAGGGAAGGTGGCCTAGCAGTACTAGATCTTAAATTGTATTATAAAGCAGCAGTCATCAAAGCTACTTGGTACTGGCTAAGAAATAGAGTGATGGATTGGTCAGTGGAATAGGTAGGTACACAAGAGACAGTAGTCAATGACTATAGTAATCTACTGTTTGATAAACCCAAAGACCCCAGCTTCTGGGATAAGAGCTCACTATTTGACAAAAACTGCTGGGAAAACTGGAAAAGAGTCTGGCAGAAATTAGGCATAGAACAAAATCTTACACCATATACCATAATAAAGTCAAAATGGGTCCATGATTTAGCTATAAAGGCTGATACTATAAGGAAACTGAGAGAGCAAGGCATAGTTTACCTGCCAGATTTATGGAGAACAGAAGAATTCATGACCAAACAGGAGATAGAGAACATTATGAAATATAAAATGGATAATTTTGATTACATTAAATTGAAAAGTTTTTGCACAAACAAAACCAATGCAACCAAGATTAGGAGGGAAGCAGAAAACTGGGAAAGAATTTTTATAACTAGTGTCCCTAATAAGGGCCTTATTTCTCAAATATATAGAGAACTAAGTCAAATTTATAAGAATGCAAGTCATTCCTCAATTGATAAATGGTCAAAGGATATGAACCGGCAGTTTTCAGATGAAGAAATTAAAGCTATCTATAGTCATAGGAAAAAATGCTCTAAATCACCATTTTAAAAATTAATTTATTTTGATTTATCAACAATCACTTCCATAAGCTTTTGAGTTTTAAATTTTTCTCTCCCTTCTTACCTCCCTCCCCAAGACAGTGCAATCTGATATAGGCTATACGTAACCAATGGAAGGAACCACAAGAATGAGGAAACAAAACAGAAGGAAAAAAAGAGCAAATAGTATGCTTCGATCTGCATTCAAATTCCATAGTTCTTTCTTTGGATGTGGATAGCATTTTCCATCATAAGACTTTTGGAGATGTCTTAGATCCTTGTATTGCTGAGAAGAGCTAAGTCTATCAAAGTTAGTCATGGAACAATGTGGCTGTTACTGTGTACAGCATTCTCCTGGTTCTGCTTACTTCACTCAGCATCAGTCCATACAAGTCTTTCCAGGTTTTTCTGACGTCTGCTTGCTCACCATTTCTTATAGCATAATAGTATTCCATTATATTCATATATCACAATTTGTTCAGCCGTTCCCCAATTGATGGGCATCCTCTCAATTTCCGATTCTTTGCTACCACAGAAAGAGCTGTTATAAATATTTTTGTACGTGTGGGTCCTTTTCCTATTTGTATGATCTTTTTGGGATACAGCCCTAGAAGTGCTATTGCTGGGTCAAAGGGTATGCACATTTTTATAGCCCTTTGGGCATAGTTCCAAATTGCTCTGCAAAATAGTTGGATCAGTTCACAACTCCACCAACAATGCATTAAGTTCCAATTTTCCCACATCTCCAACATTTATCATTTTCCTGTTTTGTCATGTTAGCCAATCTGATAGGTGTGATGTGGTACCACAGAGTTTTTTTGATTTGCATTTCTCTAATCAATAGTGATTTAGAGCATTTTTTTCATATGATTATAGATAGCTTTAATTTCTTCCTCTGAAAACTGCCTGTTCATATCCTTTGACCATTTATCAATTGGGGAATGACTTGTACTCTTATAAATTTGACTTAGTTCTCTACATATTTAGAAATGAGGCCCTTATCAGAGACACTGGTTGTAAAAATTCTTTCCCGGTTTTCTACTTCCTTCCTAATCTTGGTTGCATTGGTTTTGTTTGTGCAAAACCTTTTCAATTCAATGTAATCAAAATTATCCATTTTGCATTTCATAATATTCTCTATCTCCTGTTTGGTCATGAATTCTTCTGTTCTCCATAAATCTGACAGGTAAACTATTCCTCGCTCTCCCAGTTTGCTTATAGTATCAGCTTTTATAGCTAAATCATGAACCCGTTTTGACTTTATTTTGGTATATGGTGTGAGATTCTGTTCTATGCCTAGTTTCTGCCATACTCTTCCAGTTTTCCCAGCAATTTCTACATCACTATTGATTAGAGAATTGCAAATCAAAACAGCTCTGAGGTACCATATCACACCTATCAGGTTGGCTAACATGACAAAACAGGAAAATGATAAATGTTGGAGAAGATGTGGGAAAATTGGAACTCTAATGCATTGTTGGTGGAGTTGTGAACTGATCCAACTATTTTGCAGAGCAATTTGGAACTATGCCCAAAGGGCTATAAAAATGTGTATACCCTTTGGCCCAGCAATAGTACTTCTAGGGCTGTATCCCAAAGACATCATACAAATGGAAAAAGGACCCACATGTACAAAAATATTTATAGCAGTTCTTTCTGTGGTGGCAAAGAATTGGAAATTGAAGGGATGCCTATCAATTGGGGAATGGCTGAATAAGTTGTGGTATATGAATGTCATGGAATATTATTGTGCTATAAGAAATGGTGACTTCAGAAAAACCTGGAAAGACTTGTATGGACTGATGCTGAGTGAAGGGAGGAGAACCAGGAGAATGTTGTACACAGTAACAGCCACATCCTTCAATGACTAACTTAGCTCTTCTCAGCAATGCAAGGATCTAAGACATCTCCAAAAGTCTCAGAGAAAGAGCTGTGGAGCATACTATTCACTCTTTTTTTTTTCCTTTTTGTTTTGTTTTGTTTCTTCTTTCTTGTGGTTCCTCCTATTGGTTCTAATTCTTTTTTTTAAATTCTTTTTTTTATTAATTTATTTTGATTATCAACAATCACTTCCATAAGCTTTTGAGTTTTAAATTTTTCTCCCTCTCCCTCCCCCCTCAAGATGGCTCACAATCTGATATAGGCTCTACATATACATTCCTATTAAACATATTTTTATATTAGTGATGTTGTAAGGAAGAATTAGAACCAATAGGAGGAACTATCAGAAAGAGGAAACAAAACAGAAGGAAAAACAAAAGCAAATAGTATGCTTCAGTCTGCATTCAAACTCCATAGTTCTTTCTTTGGATGTGGATAGCATTTTCCTCTAATTCTTCTTTACAACATGACTAATGTGAAAATAAGTTTAATAGGAATGTATATATAGAGCCTATATCAAATTGCACACTGTTTTGGGGAGGGGGAGAAAATTTAGAACTCAAGCTTATGGAAGTGATTGTTGAAAACTAAAAATAAATTAATAATAAAAAATAAATTACAATTAGAAGGCAGAGGTCTTCTAGTTCAGTCTCCTCATTTTTAGATGAAGAAACTCGGGTCCAGAGAGGAAATGGGCAATGTCTGATTAACCTCAAGTACAGGGGTATTTGACTCTAGGGGAAGGATAATAAAACTTTCTTACATGTATATGGGGCAGCTGGGTGGTGCAGTGGATCAATCACTGGGCTTAGAGTCAAGAAGAGCGGAGTTAGAATTTGGCCTCAGACATTTTGTAGCAGTGAAACCCTGGGCAAGTCACTTAACCCTATTTGCCTAGTTTCTTCATCTGTAAAATGAACTGAAGAAGGAAATGCAAACCACTCCAGTGTCTTTGCCAAGAAAACCCTAAATGGGGTCATGAAGAGTTGGACACGACTGAACAACAAACAGCAACAAAAACATGTATATACTGTGTTTTACAAATATTTCATGTGATCATAAAAACATTCCTGAGAAGTGTATAGGGCAGATATCCTTGTCCCCATTTATAGATGAAGAAATGGAAGTAACTTGCCCAAGGTCACACATCTGATCAGGTATATATTCAAACCCATTGTCTGTCTACTGCTCTTCATCTTACATTATATCATATCATATCACTTTCAGTTCTTTGCCCTGGAACAGTCAGAAATAGGACAGTGTACTGAAATACAGAATGTCTGGCAACTCTCTAGATGAGATACAGAAAGGGAAGAGTAGAAAAGAAGACAGAGACTATCGAGGAAGACAGTGGATGTAAGTTAGGTTTAGCAGAAATATGGTTTGATGTGGAAAGGAGAATAATATGGGAGAGGATGGCAATGATGTTTGAATGTTAGGTTGAGGAAGGTGATCTGTTGGTTGTTGACACTGATGGTGTTGCAAAGATTAATCACGTATCTCTCCTTTCTCCTCAGATGATGGAGGGGACTCCACCTCGGACCGGGCTGAACCGGGGACAGCTACAGTGCCGTAACCTGCAGGAATTTTTGAGGGGTTTGAGTCCTGGAGTACTAGATCGACTTTATGGTCACCCAGCCACCTGCCTGGCTGTCTTTAGGTAAGAGAGAACCTCTTTGTGGGTGGGACCCCGAAACTACGAATTGTGAAGGACTCAGAGGCTGATCCTGAATCACCATGAGAGAACTTGAAATGCCAGTTAACCTTGTTGATAAGTTAGGATGGAAGACAAGTCTACTCTAAAAGGCCAGAATATACTCTCAGAGATGGTATTCTGGATGTAGGAAATCAGAGAGACCCTTGGTAGCAGAGAAACAGTTGGAAGATGAATTATCATGCTAATAATGCCTCATGTCTTTATCCTACCTCCTACAGGGAGCTCCCATCCTTAGCTAAGAACTGGGTTATGCGGATGTTGTTTCTGGAGCAGCCATTGCCCCAAGCAGCTGTAGCCCTGTGGGTGAAGAAGGAATTTAGCAAGTGAGTCTCCCTGCCTTCCCCACATTCCTCTGGTGTCTTCTGTGTTTCCTCTTCTCAGGTCCCAAAAAACTCATGTCTTCTGTCATTTCACTGCTGCTTTTGTAGAGCCCAAGAGGAAAGCACAGGACTGTTGAGTGGTCTCCGTATCTGGCACACCCAGTTGCTCCCTGGTGGCCTCCAGGGCCTTATCCTCAACCCTGTCTTCAGACAAAATCTTCGTGTTGCTCTCCTGGGAGGGTATGTCATCTTCCTTTCTTTGGTATAAAATACTGCCCATCAGGATGGGGGATGAAGGAAGGGCTCCCCAAAGTATTTCTTGTGACTTACACAGTTTTTGTAGATCTCCCCTGCTTCATGGGAGAGGCTAGCCTGTGATGTGGTTCATTCTAGGGTGATGAATGTCATGATCACAGCTGATGAGGGGGGAGAGGATTCTGGTGGTGTAGGGGAGAAAGGGAGAAGAAGCATGTTTTTACTCTAGACCCATCTGGCCATAGGGGGAAGGCTTGGTCAGATGACACAAGTCAACTTGGCCCAGACAAACATGCCCGGGATGTGCCATCACTGGACAAGTATGCAGAGGAAAGATGGGAGGTAAGATCCCAAGGGCATAATCCTTGTGTTCCCAGAGATTCCCTCAAACTTGTTTATCTCAAGATCTGTATGTTCCCCTTAAATGCCTCCTAGCCTTCTATAGAAGTTCCTCTGTCCCCTGCTCCACCTGGATGAGACTCAGGCTTCCCCATCCCTCAGGTGATCCTGCACTTCATGGTTGGCTCCCCGAGTGCGGCCGTCAGCCAGGACCTGGCCCAGCTACTCAGCCAGGCCGGGCTTATGAAGAGGTGAGGCCAAGGGCCTGTGGGGTTCCCCGCCTTCCCTTCTTCCCTGTGGGTCCTTGTTGATATGAGGGTGGAGAGTAGAGAAGGTTTCCCAGGGAAAAACCATGGGAATGGGGGAAACAAGGTGAAAGAAAGTTAGAAGTATTGAGGAAGCTATAAGTGAAGGGCTCAGAGTGAAAAGATCAGTGAGATTGATGCTTTTTTCCTTCTCTCCCCATCCCCCCCCCACCCCCCCTCCATGACCTTGTGTATGGCTAGTTCTGAGCCTGGAGAGCCACCCTGTATTACCTCTGCTGGTTTCCAGTTCTTGCTGTTAGACACACCTGCCCAGCTTTGGTATTTTATGCTGCAGTATCTGCAGACAGCTCAGGTAAGGAGGCTGATCAGTTGCTGAGGTCCCTCTTCCAGTATGGGCATCTGCTGCTGACATTGGGAACTTCTCCCAACAGTACTTTTGTCTTTGTTCCCTGCTTGTCTTGTCTCCCCGTGCTCTTTTGACCTCTCCCCCTGTCTGTTTTTCCCTCCTAAGAGCCGAGGCATGGACCTGGTTGAGATCCTGTCCTTCCTCTTCCAGCTCAGCTTCTCTACTCTTGGCAAGGTTAGCAGGGAGCTGGAAGATGGTACTGTGGATGGAAGGTGTTTGGTGGGGGGAGAGAGACAGAAAGTGGGGAAGGAGATGTTGGGGGCTGTGGAGGCAAAACAGCAAAACATGGAGAGATAAATAATTTGGGGCATTAAGCAGAAGAGGGTGATGTAGGAAAAGGGGGAGTTGGAAAGGAGAAAGACATTTGGACACCTCAGCCAACCCTTGCCACCTCTTTATCCTAGGATTATTCTGTGGAGGGCATGAGTGATTCCCTTCTTAACTTTTTGCAACATCTACGAGAGTTTGGGCTGGTGTTCCAAAGGAAGGTATGAGTTTTCATATATATTTATTAAATGCCTACTTTGTGCCCAGGCACTGTGCTGAATGATTTACAATACTGTTTCATTTGGTCCTCACAATAACCCTAGGAAGTAGGTGTTATTTATTATCCCCATTTTACAGTGGAAATTGAGGCAGACTTAGGTTAAATGACTTGCCCAGACTACTAAGTGTCTGAGGCTGGATTTAACTTGTGTCTTCCTGAATTGATAATTAATTTTGAAATTGTAAAATCATGAAATGGAAGCAACCATGCCCAATTCTTTGGGTACTCACTGGGAAAGACCATGATAGCAGTGGGAAATGGGATGACAATCACACTTTAATAACCACAGAGGGTATGAGAGCAAATAGCACAGAAAATACAGAGACAAGTGATGAAAAGAGGAGGGATACAGAGGCAGATGGCAGTGTGGGAACAGGGGATGGAATGATAAAGTAAGGCAGGCAGCTCAGAAAAAGATGGAGAGGCAAGAAGGCAGAGCGTTTCACTCGAGTAAACATGGATTAGAGTTGGGAGCCCTCGCAGCATGGACTCAGAAGATGGAAGAGTGCTGGGGGAAGGGGGGAAACAGGAGTTTGACGTCCCATTTATATAATGTTTTGGGGGGTACAGACTAACTCCTATCTGTGCCGACCTTAGAGTTGGCTCATTAACATATCCAAATATTTTAACATTATCAGTAAAACTTCAAAGTTAACATGTGCACATTATCCCAAAGTTATCAGCATCTTTTGATGTTCTGCTGGTCTGAAACTTGAGGTCTGGAATTTGTCTGGGATTTACATATCATAGGACCAGAACCCTGACAGCAGCACCTAGATGGCTTCCCTGATTCAGCATATATTGCCAGGATGTGAATTTTGGTTAATATGATACAGTTTGTAAATTACGCTCCTTTGATCTTTGGAATTGTTTGAATGGGACTTCCAGGTTCCCTTTTGCAATCTCATTTCCTGCTATTGCCCCTTCATAGTGGCCACTTATAAACTTACTTTACTGACTAGAATTGGGGGTGGTGTTCAGGGAGGCCAGAGCAAGATACAATTTTAACACATTTCCTGACTCCAGTTCCAGCACTCTATCCACTACACCACCTAGGTGCCTCAATTAAAGAGGAATGGGGCTTTTTTTTATCAATGAAGAGTGAGGGACTGGAGGCTAGAGTTGGGTACCTGGTCCCAGGATGGAAGGGGCTAAACACCATCAAATGGCTCTCCCTCTTCCATGCTTCCTAGAGAAAGTCTCGACGCTATTATCCAACCCGATTGGCCATCAACTTGTCATCAGGTGTTACTGGTGCTGGAGGTACTGCTCATCAGCCGGGCTTCATCGTTGTGGAAACCAACTACCGGCTGTATGCCTATACTGGTGAGGTTGGAGGGATGAAGATGAGAATAGTTAGGTCGTTAGGGAGGGGATTAGAAGAAAGAAGGAGATAAGGGTGGAGGGGGGAGGGTGTTGGAAGAGGAATTGAAGCTTTTTTGGTCTTCTATTTTTTTCTTTGGAGACAGAGTCAGAACTTCAGATTGCACTCATTGCCCTCTTCTCTGAGATGCTCTATCGATTCCCCAATATGGTGGTAGCCCAGGTCACTCGGGAGAGTGTGCAGCAGGCCATTGCTAATGGTATCACAGCCCAGCAGGTATTGTCAGCAGGTGGATAATCGGGGAGGACTACAGGTGGTGAGAGTCAGGGTGATAGGGAGATAGAGTTATGGATTTATCAACAAACAGGTTGGGTTTCATTTGGGTGAGGTGGAAATGGGAACATGGCAGATGGTTCAGGAAGGTAGTAGGGAAGGTAAATGGTGGAAGTCATTACTCTTAGATGGGGGGAGGGAGGGAACAGACTGGAGGGGTGGGGAGAGACAGAACAGAATATAAATATTGGAGAATGTAGACATCAGGGAAGAAATGAGAAATATGATCAATAAAAGAAGCTCTGCAGCAAAAGCTGGAAGGGAACAGACAGGGTTACAGCCAGTGGTGATGATAGGCATGGATGTTAAATTGCCTATGGTGTGTGGGGAGAAAAAGAACAAATCAGTGTTCCAATAGAAGTGGGTTATAGGTTTCAAGATGGCCAGAATTTTCTTACCCTCCTGCTGTGGCCTTAAACTATTCTCATCTTTCTTCAGATCATCCACTTCCTGAAGACAAGAGCACATCCGGTGATGCTGAAACAGGTCCTGAGTTAGGGGAGGAATTTGGATAGTGGGAGGGGAGGAGGGATTTGTCTTGGCAAAAAACAAAAGGCAGTGTTCAGCCCCAGCTGAAGGATCTTATAGCTACTCCAATCCCTTATAGACTCCTGTACTGCCTCCCACCATCACAGACCAGATCCGACTCTGGGAGTTGGAGAGAGACCGGCTTCGATTCTCTGAGGGTGAGTAGCTGGTAGCAATCAGTTGGCAGCCGACCCTCTAGTGTAACAGTTTTGTTCTGCTGGACTCTAATTTCATCCATTTGACTTTACCTTCCTCTTTTTCATTTTGGGACATTTAGTTAGGAGCAGAGCCAGGGCTAGAATCCAGATTCCTTAATTCCAGACTGTTCTGTCTGGTTTGTCACAGTACCCTATTTATTGGTCTCTTTTTTGTAGTGGATACTTTTTTATTGCATTTGACTCACTGGTGTTAGAGAGTCCCTGAGTAGGGGACATTGGGCTTTGTGAGGAGGCAGTCCCCAAGCTTGGTTCTTAATGATGGTATTTAAAAAATTTAAATTACCTTGCCGAGAAGAGTCTACAGAGTGGATGACAAAGAAGTCTATATAAATGTCAGAGCGTACAGGAGGCTGGATTTGGAGTCGGGAAGACCCAGGTTCCAGTCAGATACTTAATAGTATCATAGATTTGAATTTGGAAGGGACCTTAGAGGCCATCTAATCTAATCCTTTCATTTTACAGATGAGAAAACTGCTCTAAAGAGAGGAAGTGATAGCTGGGATTAGAATTTAGGGCCTTGGGTTTCCAAATCCAGTGCCTTTTTCCAAGCTACCTTCTTGACTTGGCTCATCACCTAATGTAGCTCTCAGCTTCAGTTTTCCTCTTTATAAAATAAGTCTAATAGCTGTTAGTACTTGACCTCACAGGATTGTTTATCAAAAAATTTAATATAGGTGAGGCACTAAACGTCAAAGTGCTATTGAAACTACTCAGAAGCCAAGGATTAGGAATGAATGGATCTATCAACAAGCATTTTGTATTATTTATTGAGCACTTGCTACTCCAGACACTGAGCTAAAGGCCTGGTGTCATCTTAAGGCTTTGGCTGGTCACTGCCTGGCTTGCCGTTTCACCTCCTCTGTGTCTCTCTCTCTTCCCCCTCCCTCCATCTCGCGGCCTGTTCCTGGGGTCCCAGGCGTCCTCTACAACCAGTTCCTGTCCCAGGTGGACTTTGAGCTGCTGCTGTCGCACGCCCGGGAGCTGGGTGTGCTGGTCTTCGAGAACACAGCCAAGCGGCTCATGGTGGTGACCCCCGCAGGGCACAGTGACGTCAAGCGGTTCTGGAAGAGGCAGAAGCACAGCTCCTGATCCAGTGTCGGGGCTGCAGAGAGCGGCCGGGGCCTCGCGCACCCCACAGACTGCGAGGAAACGGAGGGTGCGGTGCGGCCCGGCCCGGAGCCGAGCGGGGCACGCAGGAAGGCCGGGGGCGGCCGGGCCGGGAGCGCCATGCCCCTGGCTACCCGGGGAAGGGGTGGTAGCCTCACGCCCACCGCGCTCAGAATGCCTGGCTTCCGGCGTGAGTCGCAGGGCCTTGCAGTAGTTTTTTTTTAATCACATCGGAACTTTTCATACTGAATAAAGTTGGGGAAATGAACGATGCCCAGGACGCCGTTAGTCCCTCCTCTCAGGGGTTGGAGTAGTTTTCTTCCTCGTGGTTTTTTTTTTTTGAGTGGGAAGTAGGTGGGGCTCCTGGAAGCGCATGCGCCGTTATGGGCGCGCTGGAGGGGGCGAGGGCTCTGGGTGCGCACGCGCACCTTCTAGTATTTGCTTGCAGCCTTCATCATTTTCCCAGCCGAGTTCCATTTCCAATTTCCGCCTGGCACCCGGGCCGGGAGTGGGCAGGTCTGTTGGGTGGCCAGTCCTGCTCGGGGCCTCTCGGTACCCTCGTGTCCTGTGGACTTCCGGGGGAGGCAGGCCTGAGGCTGTACGGAGCCGACAGAGAAGCGTGAGCGGAGTATCCAGGACCCACTTACGTGGTCGGGTGCCTGGGGAGGGCAGCCAGGTGCTGGGGGAGCGGGCGTGCGGGGCGGGCATCTCGGAACCGAGCGTAGCCTGGGGAGACCAGGCTGCAGACCTCATCGGCGTGAGGGGACGCAAATGGGTTATAACTAACATTTATGTGCCACTTCAAGGATTACGCAGCACTTTGCACATATGAATCGATGTTCTCTGCAAAGCGCCAAGTGCTTTTATCATCCTCACATCAGCCCCTGGGGAAGCAGGTTTACACGGGTCCAGAGCCTTGCCCAGGGTCCGGTCCTAACGACTCCAGGCACTGCACTCTATCCACCTAGGAATAGCCGCGAGCCACCTAGCCCCCTTAAGTTCTCTGACTCAGTTTCCTTATCTTTAAATCGAGATAAAATAAGGTCACAGATTTAGAGCTGGAAGGGACCTTAGAAGTCATGAAGTTAATCCAACCTTAGAATTATATTTTGTAATTGAGGTGCTAGGGGTATTGTCAGGATTCAAACCCAGAGGCAATGTGGTGCAGCGGGAAGAAATTCTGAATTTGGACTTGAAGGGCCTGGGTTTGATTTCCAGTTTTGCTACTTACTATATATGTGATCTTCCTGATTAACTTAACCTCTGTGGAATGAAAATCCTAGAATTCAAGGTAGAAGGGACTGCGTTTATTTTTAGATAGAGCATTTATGAAATGCTTACTATGTGCTAGGCACTGGGGATACAAAGATAAAAAATGAAGCTGGTCTTTGTTTTCAAGGAACTTGCATTCTAGCATGGGATGTATAACATAAGTGTATACAGAATAAATACAAGGTAATCTATCCTCATACTCCAAATCTCTTATGCCAGACTGCCCTGCCTGATAGCATTAGTGTTTGCTTTGGTGTATGGGGTGTTCAGGAGGACCAGCACCTCCAGTGAGGTCTTGCTGAGCCCTTTTCAGGGCTGCTCATCCACCTTTAGTGTCTATATTTCAAGCAACTGTGACTGTGGCTTCAGGAAGCTGTAACATTTGAAGTAGCCACACCTGTGTAAAACCATTGCCAAGGTGCACTAAACCAGGTGGGGGGTAACTGAAAGGCCTCAAACCCATTCTTGATGGGATTTCTGTCCCAAACATGTGAAGACTTCCCTGGTGGAATGGGTGGATGAGAACAATTTGTTCCAGTGGGCATGAGGGCAGCTGAAACAAGTACTGTGGAGTGCTTAGAGCTTGCTCAGACATCAAGATGCCAAGGTCATCCACTGCATCCTGTAATGTCACTGTCTTGAAAAACGAAGGACAAACAACAATAGTATTTGCCTTAGTGGGTTAGTTAGGGGAATATAATAAAATTTGTATAAAGTCTTCAAAAATCTTTAAGTGCTACGTAAGTATCAGCTATGGGGCAGTCTGGTAAAGTTGGTCATAGACTCAGGAAGACCTGAATTCAAGTTCCTCCTGTGGCCTCTGGCCCTGTGATGGAGTTTCCTCGACCAGAAGTTTCTGAGTGTTGTCAATGAAATAGCAGGTCGCCCCTATTCCAAGTTTCAGTGAATGAATTTTTTAGTACTGTGCTGATACGAGAAAGTGATTGGATTGGCAGAAGATACCTTTTCCCAATGAAATCAAGTCTAGTACAAAATAAACAGGGAGATTTACAGTTTACAAAGCACAAACACTTCAGTAAGTCCAAGAAAAGTTTCTTTTGGGCACTTTGGAACTAGAAGAGATACAAGTATGAAAAGAGAGGAACCCTGCCCTCAGGAGCAGAGTCTAATTCCTTATCTTTAATATTCAGTGAAGAACAATGTTGGTATTTTTATCTCAGTTTTGCAGATGAAGAAGCAAACCTAGAAAGTCCTTTAGACACTAAGCATTTATTAAACACTTAAAAATGACTTGTTCAAGGTCACATGGCAAGTCAGTAGGAAAGCCAGGACCAGAACCTGAATCTTTAGGTCCATGGCTTTTTTTTTTCCCGTTGTACAACAAAGTTGGGAGTCCTATACCTGAGGAGAAACTATACACAAAAGGGCATAGTGAATAAAATAGCTGGGATTAAAGAAATGAGTGACTTATCACTGAGGAAATAAAGGAAGAGGATTCTTGAGGCTCTTAGTGAATGTCTTTTTTCTCTTCCAGGAAGAGATCCTGGTCCCCTGCCCACCCAGCTTCAATGTCCCACTTGTCTTTGGCCCCTCTTCGGACCAAGTTTTGGGGACTGAAACACCCCCAGAGTATCTCCTGGCCCCACTCTTTCTCCACTAAACCCTATCCTCATGGACTCTCTGTCCCCCAAAGGAATCGGGAACAGAAACAGAAACGACTTCGAGAAAAGCAGGGGGCTTTGGAGGCAGAGACAGCAAAGAAGAGCAAGGTAAGGGGGAAGGAAGGTCTGGGTGGGCTAGGGGATGCTCGAAAGTCTAGTAAATCTTCCCAAATCTTATCAGATTTCTTTTTCAGCTACCAACAAGGCCTAGTAAAAGCTGGACTGCTAAAGAGATAGTATTGTATGAAATCCCTACAGAACCTGGTGAAAAAAAAGGTAACAGATATGAAAGCCTTTTCCTGCCCCTTACTCCCAGTATTTTGGTTGTCTAGTAAAGACATATTTGAGCAAGTTCAGGGATAATAGAATTCTTTCTTCCGTCTCTGCCCCTAGATGTCACAGGACCCTTGCCTCCTACATACAGTCCCCGATATGTTGAGGCTGCCTGGTACCCTTGGTGGGTTCAAGAGGGGTTCTTCAAACCAGAATATCAGGTCAGTAACTAATGTCTGTAGCAGCTATATTGGGCCCTGGGTAAATAAGATCCCTGCCCTCGTAGTGCTCATGATTGTAGGATAATAGATTTAGAGCTGGTAGAGACTGTCTAATTCAACCCTTTTGGAGATCTGAGGCCTAGTTTGATAAAGGTCATACAAGTATCAAGTTGCAGAATTGGCATTTGAACCTAGGTTCGTTGGCTTCAGATCCAGTCTTCTTTTTACTTTCCTGGGCTGCTTCTCCAGTCAGGGCACAAGGAAGACACTAGCACAGGCATAATACACAATGTTACACAGTACGTGCATTAGAGAACTGCAGAACAAAGTGTTACATGAGATATAAAAGGGAGTAAGAGAAGACTTCCTGGAGAAAGCAGTGTTTGAGTTGGGCTTTAAAGGGCGGGTAGGAGGTCAGCTAGCTAAGGAGGGAAGACAGGACATTCCTGGTAGTGGAAGCCGAAACCCAGAGGAAAAAGAACATGGAACCTGTTTGGGGAATAGAGGGCTGTCTAGTTGGGTGGGAGTACAGAAAGTAGAATAAGGCAAAAGAGGCATGTGGTGTTATACTGGAGAGGGCCTTTAATGCAAAAGGCAGAGGAGTTTGAAATTTCCTGGGAAGGCAACAAGGAGCCCCTGAACACGTTTGTACAGAAGAGTAACATGACCAGTTCATACGTGAGCTAGAAGGAACCTCCTGAGTCCCTCTCATTTTATAGCTGAGGAGACTGTGTCCTAATTGATTTGGCCAAGGTCACACAGGTCAGAAGCATCAGAAATAGAATTTGAACCCAGATCTTACGATCATAGATTTAGAATTGGAAGAGACTTTAGAGGCCCAGAGAGATGAGAGGTCTTGCCCTAGGTCACGCTGTTAACGAGGAGCAGAGCCACAATTTTAACAAGTTCTTGTTTCCAGAATTAGTACTTCCTATGCCATGCTCTCTCCCAGGCTGGGTTGGTGTGGGGAGAGAGTGGAGGTGGGAAGACTTGATAAGATACTATTGCAATAATCCCTGTGGGTGATAATGAAGGCCTGTATGAAGCTGGTGGTGGTGACAATAGAGAGGAGGGGATACATGTGAGAGATTTTGTGAAGGTGGAATGGATAGGATTTGCTTGGACACGGGAAGTTAGGGAGAGAGGAGAGCTGGAGAGAGTTCCAAGGTTTTATGCTTGGGAGACAGGGTGGATGGTATTAATTTTGAGTCAGAAATATGAGAGTCAGAAGAAGGAGCTGATTTAGGGCAAAGAAAATAAGCCTGGTTTTAGGCTGAGAAAAGCAATGAAATTGCTAAGCCTTGAGATCTGCAGCTCGTGAGGAATCTGATTTCTGTGCCTTCAAGATCTCTCTCTTCTGCTGTCTGCCTAGAATGTGAAAGCCTTCTTCCCTACAGCACCTCAGCTCTAGAGACACCAGGGGGCTCTCTTGTCCTAGGTAAATACCTTTCCTCGACCTTTCTGCTATTCCCAGCTCCTCTCTGACTTTGTGTTTTGCCGCCCCTCCTAGTCCCAGCTGCCTCAGGCCACGGGGGAGACTTTCTCCATGTGTATCCCACCCCCCAATGTCACTGGCTCCCTGCACCTTGGCCACGCTCTCACTGTGTCCATACAGGATGCCCTTGTGCGCTGGTAAGAGGGAGAGGGGAGTGTGTCTGGCTCCTGTGAGATGGGGCTGGGAAAGTGGGGAGATGAGTCTCTGGGATAACAGGGAGGAGTTGGGTCATGCAGGTACTGAGGGGTCATGAGGATGTTGGGATCAAGTTAAACAGATATATATGAGGTTCTGGGTCCTTCTATCACAGGCATAGGATGCGAGGGGACCAGGTACTGTGGATCCCAGGTTCAGATCATGCTGGCATTGCTACTCAGGTATTTCTTTGACCCATTTCACTCTGTCAAGATATGGGAGATTTCCCTCTTTGAAGCCATTTGTCCTTCTCTCCATCTCTCCTCTTTCCTTACCCCAGGCTGTGGTGGAGAAGCAGCTATGGAAGGAGCAGGGAATAAGGAGACATGAACTGAGCCGAGAGGATTTTCTAAAGGAAGTATGGAGGTGGAAGGAAGAGTAAGTAGAGCTCCCTAGTTCCAGCTCTTCTTTCCCCCATGTTCTATTCTCTCCAGGGTCCTAAGCATCCAGCTTCCCTGTCCTGACCCTGCCCAGTTTTCCTCCCTGACAGTTACGCAGGGGGAGTCACTGTACTTTTTTTCCTGGGAACAGAAAGGGTGTTGAGATCTATGAGCAGCTACAAGCTTTGGGGGCCTCTTTGGACTGGGATCGAGAATGTTTCACCATGGATGCTGTGAGTACCAGATGCTTTGGTCTCCAAAGGGAATGGTGGATTAGGTGATGAGAGAATGCAAACTTAGAGCTGAAGAGCCTGGCATACTTTGGTTGCTAGGAGGGGTGACAGAATGTGGTGGGGTGAGAGCACAAGAGAGAGGAAGGAAAGCCAGGTGTGAACATAGACCTTCTTTCAGCGTTCGTCATTGGCAGTGACGGAGGCCTTTGTCCGTCTGTATGAAGCTGGGCTGTTATACCGGGACCAGCAGATTGTCAATTGGTCATGTGCTTTGAGGTCAGCCATCTCAGATATTGAAGTAAGTGTGAGATTGGGGTGAGGAGGTTAGGGGATGGGTTCAATTTTGTATACCTCGTACCATGTTAGGGGGAAAAGGGTAGTTGGACTTTGGAGCCTCTCAGATGGGATTAGAGGTGGGTTAGGGAGAGGGTAGGCAAGGAAGAATATCAACTAGGAGTCCTTTAAGGCCATGAACACAGAATAATGACATCAATCTTTCCTGATATGCCCAGGTAGAGGGATGGCCCCTGCCTGGCCGAACAGAATTCTGCCCTCCAGGCTGTCCCTACCCTGTCTCCTTCGGCCTCCTCGTTTCTGTTGCCTTCCCAGTAGATGGGGACCCTGGTGAGTTCCATCTATTCTCTTGCCTGACTTAGTGCATCCTAGTCTTTCCTGTTTTTGTCTGTCTATGAGTATCAAGTCAAACCCTTTGGAATCTCCCACTTTCCAGCATGGGGAATGGGAAGGGAGTGGTAGCCTATTCTTCATTCCACAATTAAGATCTTCAAATTAATTAATCACTATGCTTTTATCTGGCTGCTCATCTGTCTGGCATTGGTCACTGAGGGGATACATAAATATCTTTTCCCTATTCTCAGGATAGGGAGATAAGACTGACACCCATGAAACAGAATAATTCAGTGTCAAACTCTGTAGTTTGGACTAGAAGTGCTTTAGGGGGTAAGAAAAGTAGTAAGTTAGTGAGGGGTAGAGCAGTCTTGGTCAATATCTTGGAGGAGGGACTTGCCTTGGGCCCTGAGAGATGGGTAGGGTTTATGGTGAGGACAATAGAACACCTATAGAAGATCCTGCCTCTTCCATTTCACCTGCTGGGAATTTCACAGTTTATTTTGGCTCTGAGAGCAATTCCCAATCCCAGCCTCTCCCACCTGCTTCATCCACTCAAACTACTGGGAATTTCTGAGTACCTGGGCATTCAGAAGACTAAAAAACCCCATCTCCTGGGAGTGCTGATCCCTATTTTACATAGTTACTTTTGAGGAAGCTGTTGTTTAGGATGGGCGCCCATCCCCAATTCTTCTAGGTTCTTCTGGGAAATGAGAAATTGATTCAGGTTTGGTTCTATGTTTCCCTAGACACAGAGATTGTAGTGGGGACTACACGGCCGGAGACTTTACCTGGTGATGTAGCTGTGGCTGTTCATCCTGATGACCCCCGATACATAGTAATAAATGACTGCCTCTACCCATCTGACTTCCTCACACTCCCAGTCTACTTTTACCCCCTCCAAGAGTCTAGTCACTTTTTTTCTTGGCTCCATTTCCTTGTCTCAAGACCACCCTTTATTTTCTTACTGGTCCTGACCCACTTTTTAGAATTGTAAAATTATAGTCCTCTGGAAGAGGAATAAGAGATCATGTGATTGAACTTCTCTTTTCAAATAATGAATCTGAGGTCTAAGAAGCTGAACTGAGGTTCTTACATACTTCATAAGAAACTTGACCAAAGTCATACAGCTAGTTAATGGGGACAAGATCAATACTAGGAGGGGCAGCTAGGTGGCACAGTGGGTAGAGCACCGGCCGTGAAGTCAGGAGGACCTGAGTTCAAATCCAGCCTTAGACCAAACACTTGACACCTACTAGCTGTGTGACTCTGGGCAAGTCACTTAACCCCAATTGCCTCACTAAAAAAAAAAAATCAATACTAGGATCCTGATCTTTTGATTTTGTCTCTGAACTCTCTTCCTTTCAGTTGTTCCCTTTCTCCCTCTTATCCCCAATGCCCTCATTCTCTCTTCCTTCCAACAAATGTGTCTACACCTGATCCATAGAAAGCACTTAATAAATGCTTGTTGAATGACTGACTGATCCTTTCTTCCCCTCATCAGCACCTCCAGGGGCGCCAACTCCGTCATCCACTAAGTGGAAAGCTCCTTCCCCTCATCACTGACCCTGCAGTCCAACCTGACCTGGGCACAGGTTTGTGGAGACTAGGAGAGAGGAAGAAAGCTAGGGGAGGACTAGGGAAGGGGGAGAGAAAGGAGATTAAGGTCACAGGGAAGTCTGGGAGGATAACAAGGAATAGTAGTTTTACACCTTACATTTGTGTAATTATAATTTGCATAAATATTACCTAGAGATAACCATGGCCCCCTTGTGAGATAGGCCAGATAGATACCCATTTTCCATATGAGGAAACAGTCTCATGGTTGTTAAGTAACACAGCCACACGGCTAGTAAGTGGCAGAGCCAGGATCTGAGCTCATGTCTTCTGACTTGAAGTTTGTGCTTCTCCCTACACAGATATGGGGGGGGTAGATTTATGGAACTATAGATGGGGCTTAGGAAGGGAAAATCAGTGGTCTGATTATCTCCTCACTGCTGTTCCCTTAGGTGCAGTGAAAGTGACCCCTGCTCACAGCCTTGTTGATGCTGAGATTGGGGCACGACACAAACTGGTCCCTGTGAATGTCATTGGAGAGGATGGGACCATGGTCTCTCCCTGTGGGGATTGGCTGCAGGTCGTACCACACCTTTGATTTCCCCTCTTGGTTTCTGAATACTACTATGTCCTCTTCCACCCCATAGCCTCCAAACAGGCTTCCCTGTTCCTACAAAGAACTTTTCCTTACAGGGCCTTCACCGATTTGTGGCCCGTGAAAAGATTGTGTCTGCACTTAAGGAACAAGGGCACTTTCGTGGCATTCGAGACCATCCTATGGTACTCCCTATCTGCAGGTAATTCTCTTCCTCCATGACCCACACCTCTAAAAGGTAATGAGGGTGGGAGTAGAGTGGAAAGGACTAAAGTTTTACTAAAGTAAAAGGAGGGTAGGTCATACCACTCTGAGGAAGATATGGGGTATAGGATATGGGGAGAATGGGGATGAAAGAATGAATGGGGCCTCACTTTCCCCTCTGTAGCCGTTCTGGAGATGTGGTGGAATATCTTCTGAAAAACCAGTGGTTTGTGCGATGCCAGAAAATGGGGGAACAAGCTGCCCAGGTGAGACCCAAGTGGGGACACCGCATAAGGGAGGTGGGGCCTTTTGGAACTGAGAACGAGGGAGCCTGGGAGTCCCCTTTCCCGATGAGGACTGTAGTTGATGGTAGCTGGATAAGGGGCTATCTGGTATGGAGGCATGAAGCTGGATATGATGACCTGGGCAGGACCTAGGAAGGGTCTGGTTTGTCCAGTTATGTCCTCTATGACTCTCCCTCTGATTGGGATACTAGTAGAGGATATGTGGACCTTGGAATTATCTTATTTGAGATTAGTTTGCCCCGTGGGACACAAGAACGGGGGTCATTGCCTGAGGTCCCCTTTCTTTGTAGGCTGTGGAATCAGGGGCCCTGTGTCTTAACCCTCCCTTCCATCAGAAGAATTGGCAGCATTGGTTTTCTAATATCAGGCAAGTAAGAGCACTGGTGAGATTAAGGAAGAGAGAGAGAGAGGCATCTAATCACGCTGTATAGTAACTTTTTTTTTTTTGTGGTGGGGGTTTCATCCACAGTGATTGGTGTGTTTCCCGGCAACTGTGGTGGGGACATCAGATCCCAGCCTACCGAGTTGTTGGAAAGGAGGTAAAGGCAGGGCAGGGTGATTTAGTTTCCTCAGGGCAATGGAGAGGGTAGGAAACTGGGAAGTTACTTTTCCAAATTGTCTTGTTAAGTCTTGCCAAACATCCATTCCAAGTTGTTCTTTTGTAGGGAGACAGTGAGGAATGTTGGGTGGTAGGTCGATCAGAGGCAGAGGCCAGAAAGGCAGCTGCAGAACTCACAGGGAGACCAGAGAAGGAGCTTACTTTGGAGAGGGGTAGGTAATTGGGCTGGGACTGGAGGCTTATTTCTGGGTGGCTGAGGAGAGCAGATGCTGGGTTAGGGAAGATGGGGAAGGGTGATTGGGAACTGTGGGGGGAAAATGCAAAGGGGAATAAAGGACTGGAATCCTCAGAAAACTAGATCCCCACTGTTCCTGTTCTCACTCCATCCCTCAGACCCTGATGTTTTAGACACCTGGTTCTCATCTGCACTTTTTCCCTTCTCTACTCTGGGCTGGCCCCAAAAGGTGAGATGGGTTAAGGAGATGTAAAATTGATGACAATAGGGAAAGATGTCATGAGACTGAGGATGCATGGAGGATGGGGACCAGGAGCAGAGATTTGGGGGCTTGGAGGAGAGTGATGGGGCTGGTTGAATTATCTCTTGGTTCTATCTCTTTTGTGTTTCAGACTCCAGACTTGGCTCAGTTCTACCCCTTGTCCTTGTTGGAGACAGGCAGTGACCTTCTGATGTTCTGGGTGGGCCGAATGGTCATGCTAGGGACACAGCTCACTGGACAAATTCCATTTCCCCAGGTAACCTCTCCTCCAGTTCCCTGTCCTCCTTTTCACAGCTGCCTAACTGAAGAGAGGCAGCGTCTCTCTACTTCTCCCATGGATCTTCTCTGAAATCCAAGGAAAGGGGATTTCAGGGCATGCACTTCCCAGACCTCTGTCCCTGTGCCCAATTAACTCCTTTCATATCCTTCACTTCTCCTGCCTAGGTGCTTCTTCACTCCATGGTTCGGGATGGGCAGGGCCGCAAGATGAGCAAATCTCTGGGGAATGTGCTCGATCCCAGGGATGTTATCAGAGGGGCAGAGCTACAGGTCAGGCTGAACCAAGGGTGGGGAATTTTGGAGAGGCAGGGATGAGTTTTGAATAAGAGTGGAGGAACTTGTGGTGGGGAATTGGGGCTAGGAAAAAGATTCTGTGGAGCAATAGGTGAATCCTCAGATAGAAGCCATGTATATTGTCCCGTAGGTGCTACAGGAGAAGCTGAAAGAGGGAAACTTGGATCCCAGGGAGCTACAGATTGCTGCTGCTGGACAGGTAGAGAGAGACCCAGGTGTCTGCTGCTCACCCTTCCCCAAGCTGTATGTATATAGAAACACAGGCATCTTGAACCTCTTCTCCTTTGCCTGCCAGCCCTTAGCCACCTTTTCTATTTTCTCTGCTTCCAGAGAAAGGAATTCCCTCAAGGAATCCCTGAGTGTGGTACGGATGCCCTGAGGTTCATCCTGTGTTCTCATGGAACACAAGGTAAGACCAGGGTAGGCAGGTTGGGGATAGATTCTGGAGATAGAGAAGGGAGATTGACGAAGCCAACCCTCTGAACCTTCTCTGTCTTACAGGGGATGACATAAACCTGTCTGTCTCTGAGGTCCTGAGCTCCCGCCATTTCTGCAACAAGATCTGGAATGCCATGCGATTCATCCTCAGTGCTTTGGGAGACAGATTTATACCCCATCCCACTGAAGAAGTGGGTGTTGGTTGTATTGGGGGAAGATAAAAGGGAGTCATGGTGGAGGGATCAGTCGTCTGGTTGTCTAAGTTGTTGAGCGCTTTTCTTGTCCCGTAGCTGTCTCCCTCATCTGCCATGGATGCCTGGGTCCTCAGCTGCCTGGCCCTCACTGTAGGGGAATGTGAGCGAGGCTTCCTGGCACAAGAGCTCTCTCTCATCACTCATGCTTTGCACCACTTTTGGCTCCATAAACTCTGTGATGTTTACTTGGTGAGCCTAGGAGGAAGAAGGCACCGAGGCGGGGTGGCATTTTCCTCTGTACTTGTCCTTCCCCTAAGTTCACGTCGGATCTCATGGTTTTCCATGATGGAGCCCTCTTGGGACATTGAGGAGAGAGCGAAAAACACCATTTGGTATTTGTTTCTTTTCCCCATTGGATTGGTTCTTGGGAGCCTACATATGAGATTCCTCCCCTCCCATCTCCTACTCTGCCCCTCACCCCCCACCCTCCCTGCAGTTGCCTGAGAGAGAGGGAAGAGAGGAATAGTCACACAGATGGATTCCTGAAAGATTGAGGCAGAGGAGCAGGAGAAAAATCTGAACCTGTTCATCTTTACGAATATTCTTCCTGGGACCAATGAGAGAACTGGGAAGTCAGTCTAGTGTGCTCTGGGGGCCAATGTGGGCCACTGGAATACCTAATACATAATACTAATATGTAATTATGTACCCTACTTAATCTTAACTGACTCTTCAAAAACATGATTTCAGGCTAAAACAGCATGGGGGAGTTGTGCAGTTAGTCCACAAAGGAAAATATTCTAAATGCATGTTCATGACCTGTGTGACTTTGGTGGAGTGGCCACTGGGCCTCAGCTAGACTAGATGATCTCTGAAGTAGGTCTGTTCCAACTCTAAACTCCATGACCCTGTGCTTCTGTCATTGTCCAGTTTGTAATAAGCAGTCAGCAAGGTTTTGAGAACTTATGGTTGAGGTTCTTTATATTGTATACATGACACTTGTTGTGGAGTAGGTTAAACTTAGCTGGAGAGGAGGGGATGATTCTTGGCAGAGTATTCGACGGTGGATCATTCAAATCACACAGTAGCTCTTCCCTGACCTAAGATCCCAGGGAATGGTCCTAGAGCCATCTTGAGACTGAGTCACCCATTGGGGAGGGAGGGGGAAGGAAACTGCGACCATTGTTTTGAGGTATGGAATTGGGGTGGGGGGTAGTGAGGAATAATTGGGGGACCTAGCCAGAGGAGGGAAGTGACTCTGGAGTCCTCCATAGCTGACATTGGCCCTTAATTTCCAGGAGTCAGTGAAACCTGTGTTGTCAAGGTCACCCCAAGCCCCTGGACCATTGCAGACCCTGTACTCCTGTGCAGATGTTGGGCTTCGTCTCCTTGCCCCACTCATGCCCTTTCTGGCTGAAGAGCTTTGGCAGCGATTGCCTCGCCAACCAGATTGTACGCCAGCTCGAAGCATCTGTGTTGCCTCCTACCCCAGTGCCCAAAATCTGGTGAGCCACATTCACTTCAGTGTGGTGCAGTCAAGGATCCTAAGTTCTGAGTCGCACTTTTCCACTAACATATTGTCTATAAAATTATGAGGATGGACTAAGTAACTTCTAAGGTCCCTTCTATTCCTAACATTCTGTAAGTTAGTCTCCTTGGCTTCAGTTTTCTCGTCTGTCAAATGACAGGTTTGGACTAGATGTAAGAAAGGAGGTTCCTTTCAGAGCCACAGTGTTCTGTGGTTCTCTGTATTGGGGAGGGTCTGGGTAGAGTAGTGGAAGTTGTTGGGGGATAAAGGATCTTCTGGAAGTGTTGGTAGCATCATGTGTCATACACATGTAGAGCATCTTCTCAAGGTTAGCTTATTATACTACTGTAGTATAATAATAATAACCTTCTTTTAAGTTTTATTATCAGACGGTTTTGTGGTTTGTTATTATGGAGCCTTCCAGAGTTGAATCTTTTAGATGCTTATTTGCTGCTGTAGGTTCACTGCCTGTCCAGGGTCACTGGATTACAGTATGGTGGGGCCACAGGGATCCCTTGAAGAACATAATTGACCCAACCTAGAATTCTGTCTGACAGCTTGACAAGCATGATTGGTCAAAGAGCAAGGTTGTTTTCTGTGATGTCTCCCACAAAAGTTAGGGAAACATCTTAGTTTTCCTCAGTCATTAGTTACAGATCTATCAATATTTCATTTAATGTCTTGAACCTGGTTTAAATCTTTTCTGTGTAATGGGGTATGAGTTCTAGGTTAGAGAGCTGACAAAGTGAGACATAGTCACCTGGCCTTGTAAATAGGCAGTAGAGGGATAGGGAGACAAGTTCATTCTTTAGTAGGCTCTCACTGGCACTCACAGACATGTGGTCTATGGTTGGTCCAATTCCCACAGGAGCATTGGTGTCAGCCAGAACTGGAACAGCGATTTTCTCAGGTTCAAGAGGCTGTGAAAACACTAAGGGGCCTCCGAGCCATGTACCAGCTCAGCAAGGCCCGGCCCCGAGGTGAGTATTGCCCCTGAATACCTAAGTCCTTGAGGGGAGAAGGGGTTGGTGTGTGAGAGATGAGAACTAGAGATCTCATCACACATGGGCTGCTGAAGGGTGTAGAGGCTATGATAAGGGGAGCGACCAGATGCCTAATGTTCTTGCTTTTAAGTCTCCTCTTTCCCCATCATCTTGCCCAGTGTTATTGCAATGTTCAGAGCCCAAAGAGCAGTGTCTCTATGAAGAGTTCCTGGAGCCACTGGGCACCCTGGCCCATTGTGGGGCTGTGAGCTTCCTGCCCTACAATAAGGCATCCCCCCAAGGCTGGGCCCAGGCCTCACTCAACAGTACCACCCAGGTCTACATGGAGCTGCAGGTGAGGGTGGGAGAGGGAAGAAAAAGGTTTGAGAGTAGTGGCAATTGGGTGAGTAAGGAATAAGAAAGAAAGAGATGCAGGGGATGGATGGGTTAAGCAGAAAGAAAAGAAGAATAGAAGGTATTATGGATGGGAAAAAGAAGATATACTGGTAGACGTTAGGTCTGAGATATCTAATCCTGTCCTTTCCCCAGGGCCTGGTGGACCCTCACCTCCATCTTCCAGTCCTGCTTGCCAGAAGACAGAAACTCCAGGGACAACTTGATAGCCTTACATCCCGGACCCCAGTTGAGGGGAGTGAAATGATGCAGAGAGAGCGTAAGGTGAGTTCTTGGGAGAGTGAGACAAGATACCTGTGGTCCTTGGGGGAAGGTGGGCAGAGAGGCCAGATATCTAGATTATCACCTTTTATCTCCCCAAGGTCTCTTCCCTCCTCTTGGAGCTATCAAAGTTGGACCAGGCAACCTCTCACCTCCGGCAGCTGATGGATACAACTCCTACAAAGTCATGAATTCTACCTGTATGTCCCTTCCCTCTACCAGACCTGTCTCTGGGTATTGCTGGGTCAGGGTGACCAAGTCCTGGGGGAATCCTGTGGGACATTCATAATTGTCACAGCCTCCCTCATCCCCCTGCCTTTTTTGCATTCTCAGGAGTAAAATAATTTAAAATATCTTTTTTAAACCAAGGCATCTGTCTGGTGCCTTTTTTGTTCTTCTTTCCAAGTGTTGTCTTCTTTGCTCTTCAGTTCCTTTGAAAAGAATTCTACCTAATCTTGGGGCTGCTTTTGGTCTTGGGGTTGGGGGTGAGATTTGGAGTCCACACACCTAGGGGTGAGGTGCTGTGGGAGTTAGTGCCCCAGGCCCCCTCTTCTCTCATAAGGCCAGAGGGCTTGACCACGTGCTGGCTTCTCCAGGCCTTTTCACCAATCCGGTGGTATCAGCTCTTCAAACAACTTCCCGGGAAAAGAGGGGAGAGATTTTTCCCGGATCTAGGGACTACAGTGAGGACCAGATTAGGGAATACTTAGCTCCAGGAATGGGGTGTGGAGCCCAGAGTATCAACTGCTTCCCTCTCCCCCCACCACATGGGTGGGCTGGTGGCTCGAGTGTGTCTGTCCCAAGATGTCACACACATTTAGAGCCACAAAAATTACCTTCAATACTCAATACAATTTAGGATTTTTCCTGCTCCTAAACAGTCCCCCAGAGAGTCAGTGGGCAAGCTTTTGTTAAGCTCTTACTCTCCACTTGTGCCTATGCCAAAAACTGGAGAGATACAAAGAAAGGCGAAGCCACAGTCCCTGTCCTCAGGGAATTCACATGCTAATGAAGAAGGCTAATACCCAGGAACACCCAAGATAAGGGGTAAATAGGAGGTAAACGGAAAGAAATGTTTGGGGGTGGGGGTGGGGTGAACTGGCCTCTTGAAAAAGGTGGGATTTGAGCTGTATTTTGAAAAAAATGCCAGGACTAAATCAGAAGAAAACTTTTTAAATTATCAGGACCAACTACACAGTTATATATGTTAACCAAACTGAGAATAATAGGGAACTCACAAACTATGTAGTATAAATGTAATAAAATATAAACTATGTAATATAAAATAACCCAAACTAACAAAATTTATTAGGACTGTACTTGTTGCATAAAAGGAATATGGTAAAGTGTTCTTAATTTTTGAGAATAATTTGCGTAGCATTAGCGCTAATTGTTTTTTTAAAAGTTTGATAGAATTCTCCTTTGAATCCCATCAGGAGCAGATTAGTTTTCCCTTCTGATCGTTCTTTTACAGCTAACTCTTTCTTTTTCTGAAATTACAGTGATTGAAAAAGAAAGATGTAGATCAATGGGACAGACTAGATGAGAGAGTAAAAGACAATAGAACTCAATAGCCCAGTGTTCTATAAACCAAAAAACATAAATTACTTAGGAAGGAGCTTCCTTTTTGAAAAACTGCAGGGGAAACTAGAAAGCAGTTTGGCAGAAATTAGTCTTAAACTATATACTATATTCCACAGTACATTCTAAATGACCTTAATATTAAAGATTATTCTGTAAAACAATTGGAAGAAAAATGTCATAGACCTCATAGCTATTGGTAGGAAAGGTATTCTTAAAGGATAAAGGTGATTACAATAGGTAACTAACTTCATGTGAAATTGAAAAACTTCTGCATAAATGAAATTAATACCTAGGTCGAGGGAAATGGTTCAATGGGGGGGAAAAAGTTTTTGTATCAAATTTAAATTTGTATCAAAATCAAATTTGTGAGGTGATAATGAGTTTTTTTGGACGGGTTGAAATGTCGATAGGGTAGCCAATTCAAGATGTCCAAAAGGCAGTCAGTGATGTGGATCTGGAGTTTAGGGCTGGGCATATAGATCTGGGAATCATTGGCATAGAGATGATAACTGACTCGTGGGAACTGACCCCACCAGGACAGAGCCTTGTGGGATACTTAGTTAGTGACTGTGACCTGGAGGAAGATACAGCAAAGTAGACCAAATGAGAAGTCAGAGAGGAGAGAACTAGGAGAGAGAAGTATCACAAAAGCCAAGAGAGAAGAGAATGATTGGTATCCAAAGCTTCAGAGAAATCAAGTAATATCAGGGTTGAGAAAAAGCCATCAGATTAAGCTATTAAAACAAAAAATTTGGGGGGGATAGGATTAACTTTGGAGAAAGCATTTTCTGTAGAATGGTGAGGTTGAAAGCTAGACTGCAGAGGATCTAGAAGACAGTGGAAAAGAAATGGAAGCAGCTAACAGCTTTCTCAAGGAGGTTAGCTGAGAAGGAGAGAAGGCATGCAGGACAGTGCCTAGCAGGGATGGGTGGGGAAGATCAGGTGTGTTTTTAGGAAGCAGAGAAGGAGCCAGTCTCTCTTTAATAGAGATTGAAAATGAGAGTGTAGGGATGATAGTGGGGGGCTTTCTGCTGGAGAAAACAGAAGGTGATGGAGTCATGGCAAAGGGAAGGACCACTCTTTCTGTAAGACAGGGATGAAAGAGGAGATTATAGAAGATGTTTTAAGTGATTTGAAAAGGAGAGAAGAGGGAGCTTTGGGTGAATAGTCTCAATTTTTTTTTTTTACTGAAGTAGTTCAGGTCCTCAGCTGACAGGGTGTGTGGAGGGGGGTGGGGTACCAAGAGAAGCTTAGTATAGAAAGCCAAAGGTTTGGAATAGTCACTGTGGTGAATGGAATAGTAAACTGATTAGAAATGGGGATAGGGGTCATAAGAGGTAGGGAAAGATAGAACAATAAGAGATTATGATCAGATAAAGGAATTTAGAGTTCATGAACTTGGAACACTTGTGAATGAAGCCATGACAATCTCTATGGGAAGCTGAGGGGTGAAGTAGTAGGTCGTGGTAATTGAGTAGCTAGAAAAAATGGGAAGTTAGGATATTTGAGTTAGCATTAATATGGACTGAAGTCTCCTAGTATGAGGGCAGATGTTGGAGACTGGGAGGAAGGCAGAGAGAAAGCTTGTGAGCCAGGCACTGAACACACTGAGGAAGGTCAGAGAATGTTCTGTGGGTTGATACATAACGGCCACCAAGATCTGTATTGGGCAATAAATTTGAAAAGCATGAACTCCAAAAGAGGACAGATTGCTTAGAACAAATTGAAGGTGGTAAAGAGAGAGTTTGGAAGTAGCCATGAAGTATAAGGAGTATTCTGACTTTCCAGTCATAATTGATGATTTGGGGGTAACAAAGCACAGACAGAAAGGGTAGCCAGGGGTGCCTTGTCATCTGGAGGAAGCTAGGACTCAGTGACAGAAGATGGAAGAAGTGAGAAAGGAAAAAAATTTAAGGTAAAAGAAGTTACTTCTGGAGCAGACATTTCAGAGAGCATAGTTGAAGGAGTCGGTAGACCTGGAAGTGGAACATTGCAGGTGTGAGGTTGAGGAGGATGGATAGCTGGAGATGGGGAATGGGGTTTGGACATCAGCATGAAAGAGTCCAGAGTCACTGTGATAGGAAGACTGTAAAGTGTGGGAGTATGCTAACCGCTGAGGCATGAATCCAGGCAGAGTACTGAACATTGGAGAAAGATCTGTTGAGGGAGGCAATGATAACAGCTCAGTGTGATGGCGGACTGCTTTTCAAAACTGGATTGGGATATTTTTTTTCCCAAATCCAGAATTGAGGAGGCCAGATGTTCGAATCCCAGAGGAAAGCTGAGATTAAAGAACCACATGGCTGCTGTCACACCTTTTATAGTACAGGGATCATGGGCTAGAGGGGATGTTGGTTTCTGATGGGAGCTTTGGGAGATGGCAGAACTGAAGAAGAGTGGGTGAATGTGATGGACAAGGGCTCCCTTATTGCCTGTAGTAAAACCTATGGATGTACACATGGAGATACACATGCGTAAATGCTCACCAACATCGAGAGCGTGCTGTTTACATTGAGGCAGCTTGCTATAGGATTTGGACTTGGGAATCAGAAAGACCTCATTTCAAATCTTGTGTCAGACTTGTACTAGTGTGTGATCCAAGGCAAGTCACTTAATCTCTATCAGCTTCAATTGCCTCATGTGTAAAATGAGGGCCTGTAACATCTACTCACAGGAGTGTTGTGAGGATCAAAGGAGATTACATATGTAAAGGCACTCTGAAAGCCTTAAATCACTACATACCTGTTAGTGATGATTATTTACGTGACAGACAACGCTGCCCCACTCTCCCATCCCCATTCTTTTGCCTCACCTCTGTGGAATGTCACCTCCTTTATCTGTTCTCTTAGGTTGTGCCTTTTCCATCAACCCTTCGAAGCTAGGATATTGGAGGGAATTCTTATTTCAAAGAATCCTCCAGTCACTTGCATGATGGCAGATGTGGCCCAGGAACTAGGTATTTATTCCCTCAGTCCCTGGCTCATCCTTCTAGCATTCCAGTTCTTCTCTGAGATTCAGTCATCCACCCCCAGCATGATAAAATGGAAGAAATACTGTACTTAAGAGTCAGGAGAAAGATGGATTCAAGTTCCAGCCCTGCCAATAATTAGCTGTGTGATCTTTGGCAAGTTACTTGAACTCTGTGTACCTCATTTTCATAGGAATGTAGGATTTATATCTGGAAAAGTCCAGTCCAGTCCAACCTTTTCATTTTACAGATTAGAACACTGAGGTCCAGTGATTTGTTCAGGATCACACAAGTGGTAAGTAATGGCTGCTATAATTTGAACCTAGGCTTTTTAAAATTCAGGCCTCTTTCCTTTTTACAATGCTAAAATGATGAAACAGTGCATCCAAATAAAACTGAGAAAATGATATGGCATATAATTGTAATAATTTCAACATGACCTATTTAAATAAGTTATTGATTGCCCCAAATGGAGAACAAATGAAGAAACAGATCTCAACAATTGTAACAATTTCTTACAGATGTCAGCATTACCAGGAGATCACAGCAGCCTAGAAAAATTGCTTTTTGCTAGCAAACGCTCAATCTCCTTGCCAAATGAAGAGATATTGCAGCCAAGAGCAACATTAATTTAGAATTTAGAACGTGTAAAATTATGTGGAGGATGGTGGAAATTGGTGATCAAGAGGAGTAGAAAAAAGGAAAACAAATTAAAGCTCAATGAAAGAACTAATTAGCAAAGTCATCTGGAGTGGGGTGGGGGGGAAGAGTCTGTAAAGATTTTTCCAACAAACTTTTTACTATGAATAAAAAAAATGGG